AGAAAACATATTCTATAAGATAACATCGACACAATGTGGAGAGGAAAATTGTGTAAAACACAAAATGTAGAAAAGAGTAAAATATAACACTGAGCTTTGGCTCTGCTGCCTGGTGATTAGTTACGACTGTTTCAGTGTCTCCTCCACTGACAAATTTATAGCACCTGGAAATTATAGATAATGCACTTTTATTAATTTGATCAGCTTCACTGGATCCCTTCAAGCTGGCTCCCCCAGATTTTCTTCACTATTTTTCAAATATAAATGAACAGTTATACTGGATGAGTCCTTTAGTTATTATTTACTAAGAGATGTGCAGCCATACTGCCCAGCATGCCCATCTGATCAATATTTTAAATTCAATGTTTAATCAATGTCAACCCATTGCTTTCCATTTAGCATTTGTAATTACTTGACTAACGGAGATACTGGGCCTTTGTAGAGTAGCATCATGCACATACATTCTCTGTTGTGGTTTGTTTTCATGAGTTAATTTAAAGCTGCAGTTTATGAACACCCTTGTCCATTTATAAAATATAGTAAACAGTTGCATTTTTCACTCTCACTTTTGTCATTCACAAAGTCACAGAACAGCCCTGGAAGTGGCTGGTTAGCAAAACACAAGAGATGCATTGCCCAGCTCAGTGAGGCCGTTTTCAGACATGACCTCTGGGTAAAATCCGGAGAAATGGCTACGGAGTTTACCCAGAGTTTGCCTTTCACACATGCACAACGCAGCTGTGTTTTCTGAACGGACGTGTTCACAACCGGAGAAAATACGGGGGATCTGTGGAGTCCAGTGCATGTCTGAAAGCAGCTTTTGTGAGAGAGACAGACATGAGACAGATGCAAATAAACGTAATGTGACTGTTATTTGCTGACATAAAACTTGGAGAAAAGAGAACAAGTTTGCCCGATAGCTGATCCTGCAATTCACTTTTGTGATGTTTTTATTTTCTTTGCAACCAGGACAGTTCTCTCTCTTCGAAGCTGTAAACACTGACACCTGCTTTGGCACGAGTGTGTAGGGCCGCCTGGCTCTGATTCAATGGCTTTGTATTCAATGTGTTATACAATCAAGAATCTGCAGCGGGTGTTTGATTTTGTAAAATTAACTGAATGCTATATAATATGTGTCTGACTTCCTGCCCAGCTTGATCTGCTCTGTACAGTTTAATGCAGCTACACAGAAGTATTGCAAAGCTATACAATAGAAAGAAATTCACATTGGACAAATGTGCTATTAATATTGTGGTAACAAAATGTAGTAACAAAGTGTTAAACCTTGTAAAATAGCAAATTTGAGTGTTTTCATTTTCACTAAACTGGTTTACTACCTTCTTTTTAAGGCCCTGCAGACACCCTGTATAACCAATCAAGACCAAGAAAAATGTAGCCAATTGCCACTCCACCCGAACAACTGCTAAGATCACCTCAATCAAGCCTCAGGAGTATTTCCACTCAGGAACCAGGAAGGAGGGGAATGGCTGCCAATCATGCCTTATACAACTGCCATTGACTGTACCGTAACTGCTAAAATATTATAGGTCTTTTTATATTTATATTTATTTATATATATATATATATATATGGAAGTTATCCTGAAGTTAAATAGTAGCTGTAGCCTGAAAACAGGATAACAATGAGTGAAGAGATCTGTTTGTTGTTACTAACCACTTGATGCCGAACATCATAACCGCACTGCGTGTTGATGACATCTTCCTGTAAAAGGAACAAAACAAAAATGTGAAGTACTCCATTAGAGTTTAAAGATAAAATTTCATCTACTGCTCAGATGTGAAACATTTATGGAATATTTATAAGTCTGAGTGACTGAAGAACTTCAAATACCTTTTGGAAATTACTAATTTCTTAATGAAAGAAATGTTGCAGTTGCCTCCTAGATTACTAATTAAAATCCTGATTCTTATTGCTGAGTGACTTACTGCAGGATCTTTAACACAACAGGAAAAGGGGACTCCACAGCGCTCCCTGCTGGGGTTCAGTACAGTGCAGTTGAAGTAGATGTTTAGGTTCCAATCGTCGGGCCCATGAGCTCCACAGCATGACCACTGAAACAGCAGCAACAACAACACGAAATTAAACTGCCAGCTTTGACTAACGGACACATTTATTTTCTCTGATCTGGTCTTGAAACAGCTCTATAGAGTCTGTCTCAGGTTAGCTTGGGCGGGTAGCAACCTACAGACAGGCAGACTCAAATGGCAAGACAACAGCAGATCTAATTAGCTTTACAGTGCGACATGACAGAGCCCAGCATTTTCACATGGGAGCCAATTATCTAAACCGTTTCATTCATATAATTGGATAATCATTTGAAGGAAATTAAATCACATTAAACATGAGATTTACTGCACAGCTGCAGAAGCTGCCTCATTCTCCTCTCGGCCCAGAGCTGAGCAGATTCAACATCAGCTTTTAAACAAGTACACAACAAACATTTCTTGTTGACTTCTTACGGCCAAGAAACACAAGCTAGTGTCAGTTAGTGTGGACTCACATATTCCTGGGCAAAGTCAATGAGATTCTGCAAGTCGATGTCATCTCTGTAGGCCTTCACATTATTGTTGATGAAAAAGTTGAGCTGGTCTTTGATCCAGTCCTTAAAGACGAAGGCAAGGATCCCTGCTGTCAGCTCCAAGAAGAAGATCAAACCAAGGAACACAGAAAACTGGAAAAGTACAAGACACACATTAGAGTAAACACACAAACACACAAAAAATGTGTCACTTCGTCACATCGTCTCTGTATCTTGTGTTGTAAATTGTGTTGGCCCTGAGAGTTCAATAAAATAAACACAAGAAAACACACAAATAAACACAATACATGCAAATGGAGAAAACATTTTCACCATTGTGGCAACACGTGCCACACATAGAAGACCCACTGCAAATACTCACAATACAACAAAATTCTCCCAACACTAACAAATACTGCAACACAGCAAAGTAGGAGCAACATAATGAAGTGTTTCCAAGGGACACTAACAAGTGATAAAGAGTAAATTGTAATTTGCCAATTCAAATAATCTGACGAATTACACTGACATTGTGAAACCAGCTAACGCTAGCTATATAGCATGCTAACTTGGTCTTTTTAAGATCAACCACATCACAGTAGAGACAATAAATGCTGATCTGAAAAAAAGTAAGCTAGCATGTTATACAGCTAGCTAACATAACATTATGTGCTGTGAGTATTTGGTTGTGTTGTGAGTACTTGTAGTGTTGTGAGTATTTGGTTGTGTTGCCCATATTTGGTAGTGTTGGTGGAGTATTTGCGGTGTGTTTCCTATTGCTGTGCACGTGCTGTTAAATGACTGAAAATACACTCTTTTTGAGCTCTCAGGGCCAATGTAGCAAAGGGCCAGAACAACATTTTTTCCAGTATTTCTTGGAAAAGACGACAGCTCTCATGTGTCCCTGTGCAGGTCTGTTGGTAAGATGGGTCCTGATTTGCTGAGTGAGAGCGTGGACACATAAACCGCAGTCCCAAAAGTACCCTTATATCATCCCTTTACAGTAAATGTAGGACGAGACAGGGATTATGATAAATGCACAAAAACACATTAGCTGCTCACTCTGACGCCTGACTTATTGTTGCTAATGGACATGGGCTGGAGTTAATAGCTACTCAGAATCACAGCCAGCAACAAGGCTAGTTTGTCTATGTCACTCATATGTCTCATGCTCATCAATACAGCTGAACACAAATAAACATCCTAAAATGTTGACGTCATGCCCTTCGGAACAATTCTCATCTTTTGGATCAAAACCAAAAAGTTGCCACTGAAGAAAACATTGCTTGACACAGTGGAAATATTTGTATGGCTTTTTAGAAATAGATCAGTGTCTCTGATTATTAATTTCTGTAGGAGTTGGAATAGTGATGAGATAACGCATTTTAATGCCATGCAATCACCCATAACATTTGGCTCGGGTGAAGCAAAGGGACACCTGCTACACTGACAGCCTCAGCTCTGGTGTGAACGGCAGATCTAAAGGGGTGTGAAGTGGTTAAAATGGAGTCTGTGCAGAGAGAATCAGGAGCTGGCTTACAAATTTAAGCAGGAAGGTGTTCTCTCTGAGAGCTCCAATACAGCCAGCAAAGCCCAGGACGAACATGACCCCTCCCACGACGATGAAGAGCCACACAGGGTCGAAACCCCCTAGATCTGTGATGGATGACAGATTGGACAGCACGCCCTGAGGGAGAAGAGAAAAACAAAAGGCGGTGGTTTAAATTCTGACTATAATATTTCCTCAATCAATCCTCATCATCTCTTTTACAAGGTCTCATGAAAATCTCTCATTCTTGAGCTTTAAAAAGAGTCGAGTGTCAAAATAAGTATTGAAGTAATGACACACCCAAGAAGCCAACTGGATTTAACTGGTATTCATCAAATGTGTTGCTTTGTAAATAAAATAACAACCCCCACAGGGTATATGTTATCAGTTTATCAACAACACAGTTTCAAACTCTGGTAGACCACAGTCCAGCCAACAAAATAAGTCACTTTTATCAGGAGACAGAAATGTTCACAGCAGAGATCTGTCCTTCCTCTCCGGCCCCACAGCCCCGAGGCCACAGTGTACACGAACATGTTTTCCTGTCAGTCTCTGGGCTGCATCATGCCTTACACTGACAAAAGGCATGTTTTATTTGGAAGAACGGCCCATTTCTCAAACGTGTATTACACTTTGAAGACAATGACTCTGTCCAATGGAAAATGCTTTTATCATGTATACTATGTCAATATTTAAAGGTTCAGTGTGTAAGATTTAGGTGAAAGGGATTTTTGGCAGACATTTAATGTAAAATAATAATAGTGATGTTTTCATTGGTGTGTTTCATCTAAATTGTATGAATTGTTTTCTTTACCATAGAATGGGCCCTTTATATTTAAAAACTTTATATTTACATGGAGGGCGTCCTCTCTGTGGAGGCCGCCATGTTTTTTTACTGTCGCCCTAACTGGACAAACTAAAACCTTTTGAGTTTCCATGACAACTGAAGTTCACCACAGGTTCTCTGTCATGTTGAAAGGGGAGGGTGAGATGATGAGTGTTCAGCTGCAACATGACACTTCACCTCTAGATATCACTTCATTCTACACACTGAACCTTTAAAGTTTCAAATTTAAAAGTAATCTTTGTGAGATAAAAGCTCCTGCGTTGCACAGCTCTGAATTCACTTCTGTTTTATACATTTACGAAAAGCTGATATTAGTTCGTCACAGATTTCTTCACACAGTCATCCCCTCCGAGCACAGTTTGTTCTCCCAAAATAGGTGACTTGAGTAGTTTTATATGGATTGCATGTACTCCTGCAAACAAACAACCAACAGTACAGACATTTGGCGACAGCAGAATCACATTTTACTGGCAATGTTAGCTTTTGGATTACATGACCTCAGACTTTTTCCCACTTAAGCATTTTGGTACTTTTCCAACACGTACAATGATTAAAAAGGGTATATAGAGAAACACTTTCATAAAAGGATTGTGATGGGACTACATCCACACAATAAGCAGGTAATGGGTGTAACTATTTACCGAACACTGACATCCTGCTGTAACCTTTGTTGCTGCGGATGTTCATGCATCCCACTCTCATATTCAGGCTCAAACATGAACTGATGGATTTGAGAAGATGCTATTTACAATCAATTATGTTTTGTTTCTTAGATTTACAGTTTGCTTTCAGAACCTCCATACCAGTAAAGAGGATGAGGCGCTGCTAACAAGCACTGGTTTGGCTGTCGGTTTTAAGAAGCTCTGAGCTAAAATTGCCTGTTTCTGTCAGAGGCTTAAATGAGGGGCTGTGTAACAGGCAATTTTAGTCAAATATAGACTTTGTTGATCTTTTTTTGAATTTCTGGAGTTCCAGAGTAAAAATATAGAGCTGGAAATAAGCGTAATAGGTCACCTTTACTTTCACTGTGTAGTGCAGCATGAGGAGCACTGTTTGTGGGTATAAAAGCTTGTTTAAATATAATAGGTGTTCTGATTCATGGGTGGTCTCACAACGTCTCTCACCTAAAGGGAACCCACCATTTATTGTTTGTAAATGTGGGCCCCTGCTCTCAGTACTGACATACTGTTTGTTTTTCACATATAGTGCACACAAAACCTGCAGCTGAAGCCCAAGAAGCTGAAATCTCATACTGCTTAACTTAAGCTTCTCTGCACTCAGCTAAGGGACAACTGCAGGACAATACTGCATTCTTGTGTTTTTATGGCACTGGTGCAGAATAAACTTCCTTCATTTGAATTTAAGCATGAGGCCCTGAAACAATAATGTGGTCTGGCTGCACGCAGCAGGCTTGAAACTAATCAGCTTAGTCACTGAGACTCAAACTCACCATTGTGCCTTTCCAGTACCCGCTATTCATCATTTGGCAAAATCCTTTTGAATTATTCACTCTGTTCCACAAAGGTGCAGGCCTATTTGCGGAGTTCATGGCCATGATGTTACTAATGAGTACAAGCTTCCATAGCATTTACTGAACTGAATGGGACATTTTCTAGGTAATTAATGAACAAATTGACTGTAAACTCTGTTTTGAATTTTGAATCAACCTCTCATAAACATGACACCTGACATTTGTGGCCTGCACTGAGGGAAATAAATAGTAAATACTTTCCCAATCTGAAGGGCCAGTTCATTAATTCTGTACTAGCAGCTCTTCCAATATTTCAACTGATGAGCTGCAGTAACATTGTTAATTTCCTAAGGTAACTAAGGCCTGGTGCACACTAGAGGACTTTCAACTCTTAACCGATTGTTAAAACGTGAGAGACCACAGAGACAAATTTAACAGATTTCTTATATAATAATCATGAGAACATAACACCACACACTTGCCTTTGGTAGTAAACAATTCCACAATGGCAATTGCAGAGACTTGAGATCTCAGAGAAAGTTGCATAATTAAATGTGACTTCAGTAGAAAGACAAATATGGAGGAGGACTGACGTTGTCAGCTGGGTGCACTCACAAAAAGAGAGAGAAAAAACTATGGATGTAGTCCGGCTGAGAAGACAGAATTGGTTTATACATATTGCAGCGTGAATTAGAGGTGAGTTGGAAATGTATAGTTATTTTTAGTTGCAGCTACAGTATACAAATACGTGATGCTTGCTGGTCAGATCACTGTCATTGGTTCCTGTACAGGTTCCTGTAGGAGCCAGTTATGGTATATATGTTTGATATTTACGTTTTGAGATCAGGGAGGCTTCGACTCGATCAGCAGCATTAAGATTATTTTGTAAACCCCTCACACTTCAGGATTATTTGGGCAGATTATCAGCACCGACAGTCAGGAACGGCCCCATAATTGTCAGAAGGGGCGAATCGGATCAAAAGTTGGCCCAACTATCCTCTAGAGTGCAGCAGACCTGATCATTAAATACTCATTCTTTGACTTCCATATTTCCACACCACTTCTCTCAAACTCTCCGCTCCCACCTAAACTCCCTCCAGCAAACTGCACTTCCAGCTTGTTTCGGCCAGGACGGTGGAATTTGAGCTATGCTGTTGAGGCAGTCATGTTGTACTTCACCAGTGTGTGTTTATGTGTGCATGTGTTTATACTTACCTTCTCCGCCCATGCCCACAAGCCGATGCCCAAGAATGCTGCGCCTAGTAACTAAAACAAAGCAGAGAGAAGAGGATCTTCTGTCACAAAAAAATCAGCCATACCCATAAGTTAGCAGACCATTTTACATCCTTCCAGTTTCAAGTATCTAAAAATGTCACTTTACTTCTTCAGCATTTGTAAAAAAAGCATGAATACTTGAGACTTAATGAGCATTGACCCAATTCAAAGATCGAAGTGAAAAATCAAGTTTGAACACTTAAGTGTAACATTCAAAAACTTCCATCAAGACTGTGAGGGTGGGATTCAGTCGTTTATGGTTTGAAGTGGTGTCTCCATGGAAACACATGTAAAAACAACCCAACAACTGTCTTCAGTAATTTTTCTTTTGTTAAACTCTGATTAATCAAAAGTAATCCATGACATCACCTTTTCCCAATACATCCTTGCCCACAGCAAAAAAGGGACAAGACACAAATTCTAATTAACCTCCAAGTACTCTTCTAAACCTGACAGTTTATAGTGAGTCCATGAAGAACTATCGCTTTTAGGAAGAAAATTGGCTTCAGAGGTTTTAAACAACAGTGATCTCTCAGAAGACTTTTGTCGTTTAAACTAGCTGTGGACAGGGAGAATCATTGCCAGTTATTGCAGGTTTAAGTCATTGCACTGGGCTGTGTAAGAGGCCGCAGGATGTGTTAAAGGTAAATCCCTCCTTTATTAGTCTCCCATCAAAGGGAAGAAAGATTGCAGGGCTCAGTTTAAATCAAGCCACATAAGAAGAACCTCAGAAAGTACAGGGTGACCAAAGCACTGGACCATCCAAAGTAAAAAAACACAAAATGAAAATATACAGCAGAGAGTCTTCAAGATTATATTAGACTACGTGTCAGTAGAGATCCCCAGTTTCTTAGCTACCTAAAAATGTAATTTGTAAGAGATTTGGTATGGTAATGCACTTCAAGGACATAACAATGGAAATTACATTGAAATTGAGTTAAATCATAGTGCTGTGATGTTGATTAAATAAAGCAAGAAAAAAAAAAAAACCTGTCAATGCACAACAGGGCCGACAGTGTGATAATAACAACAGCAGCAGCAGTAACTGGGAGGGGGTGCTGCTGCTGCTGAGTTGACCTGGTAGTTACCCAAGCAGTTGTAGTGAAGGGTGTGGTGGCTTCGGCTTGAAAGTGACGCACAGGTAGGCAGCTGGAGCTCAGTCAGGGGAGATTAGACTGACAGAGCGAGAGTATTAAACCACCGAGCCTCTGACTCAAAATACTCCACATAATTACCAAGAGCACAAAGAAAACACGACAGAGAAAACAATTCTCAGTTTACAGCATGGAGACCACAATTGTACAGCTCCACCTCAAGTGTATTGTTACAGAATGTCTTTGTAGATGCAGTATTTTGTTGTTGAAACTGTAAAGACGATGTGTTCATTCAGTTGTATGTTTATTTTGGAGGATGTAGACGGGGATGTTGTTGAGCTGCATTCTGTATGTTTCACGCAAGTTTTTTTTCACCCCATTCAAATCAATGACGGACAGTTAAACAACACACATAACTCTTTGTACAAAGCGGTACAGTTTAACAGCAGCCACTGTTGTATTAGACAGCATAAAATAAGCATCTCTAATAAAATGACAAGTGCACGGATGTAATGTATGTTCAAAGGAAATTTATTATTTTCTTAGCCTGTGCGAACCAGTGAAGTTGCAGGATATATGATCACATGCTCCCCTTTTGTTCCCTACTTCTGCAGAACGGGTTCACGAGAAACTGTTGGACAGACAAACAGTCTCAAAAACATAGTGCCTCTAATTATGGATGTCACAAGCGAGAAGGTATAATTTGTGTAATATTGGTTTCCTAATAGTTTTATGGGCAAACCAACCTCAATAAAAAACAGTGTTTCAGTGTGTTGTCTGTGTGTGTTCAGTCACTGCTCAGTGACCACACTGCTGTGTTCTCCAAAATATAAATTCACTTAATCGGACTGCGGCGACAATCATGAAGGAGCGTCTTTGGTCTAACCTGAAGGCAAAACTGTGCCATCTTTCCAAATGAGACAATCCTGCCTCACAGACAGAAAAATCCATGTTGAATCAAGGTGGCCATTTCATGAGAAAAATTCCCTGAGGTTGCCATCCGGTCGCTGCCTTAAAACAGTTTGAATTTTTTCAACAAAACACTCATTAGCATTTGTCTGAACTCCATATGAACATTCCAAAAAAAGGTTATGATGCACCAATATAAAATGTATTCCTTTCTGAAGGTTAACACTTTCCGGCTTCGTGTCTGATGTTCTTCCTGTCTCTATTTCTTTGTCCTAGACAGGAAATCGGTCAGTTGATAAAACTTCAAGAATATCTGGCACACACAAAACTCATTTCCTAAATACAAATATCTCTCAATATAACACCTAAAGATCAAATAAAACTGTCATAATTAGCTAGAGATGATTAAGAATAGCTTGGAGCAAGAACATTACGAGAGTTTCTCATTTCTAATGATACCAGAGCACTTAGCTGACAAAGAGAACACAAACCACAATGACTGATGTCACGTGTCCTGCTGTTTATCATGTAGTATTTCATGTTAATTACAGGCACTTAAAATAAATATTACTACCACTTCAAGCTAATCAATTACATGATGCCCTGATGATTAACTACAGACTCCTCCCATCTCTCTCCATCTCCCCTGCTTCATCTGTGCTGTGGACTATCCAATAATCCATTAAGAAAAGATTGCCTTTTTACTCTGGTGCTTCTAAAGTAAAACAGCAGAACAGTACTTCCGTTATATGGCCAATTTTGTTATTTTTTCTGGTCAAAAGTACATAAAAGCACGTCAAGTGCCATGGCTATAGTCTCAGTTTTCCTCGTAGGCAGCAGTAAATGAGACAGCCATGGATGTTTCCATGCCTGGTAGCCTATCAATTGGGTTTACTATCTCTTTTTCAGTCTTGGAATATTTCCATCAATTTTATTCATGAAATACACAAAAACTGAACATGTCCAGATCAGAAATTATGAAGAATTAAGACAGAACTTAAGTAAATTTGAAGGTTCTATAATGTAAGAATGTGAAACAATTTAAATGTGTTTAATCCCTTTTTAATGCCAACATATGACCAGTGAGTAATACAATTTAAAAAAAGTACCTTCCACAACTTTCTTAGTTGCCAACAAACTTTCTGCTGTGCCTGTCATTCAGGGTGCGTATGACAGTGGACAGTATTTGGGTTCTAGCATCAAGTAAAGTAAATCTCCACCACCAGTAGACGGTAGACGCTGCGTATTTGCCGGCTTCATATCTGCAGTCCTAGTTAGTTCCCTTCAAAGCTCTATGTGTTCTGGAGATGACTGAAATGTAGACTGGTCCTTCTTGTACTAGTAATCCTAAATTGGCGTAATCCAAGCGCCATCCATGGCTAAATATCATTCCCAGTATGACCATCACATAATTGTGACTGCACTGGAAGCTGACTGCACTTCACTTAATGGTCACTGGTGCCCTGACGAACAATGGTTGTTTGAGTGTTGCGTATGTAAAGTCACCATTATGTTAAACCATATAATGTGTGCATTTTAAAGACCTATCTGCAAACACAGTTTCCTTCGTGGGACAATAAGGTTTGAATCCAAGTGAATTTGACTGAATGAGTACACTGAAATTGAACTGAACCTGCCTTTGTGTCATGCTTGTTAGTTTTTCCGCAGTATAATGTGGGCAGCGGAGTCAAATTCAGGTCAGTTGGTGGCAAAGAAAAACATATGCCACTGCCAGACAAAATAATCTCCACAAAAAATGTACTTTTACTGGTTGGTGGAAAAAACAAAGTGAAAAAGTAACAAATTCAATTTTAGAAACATTCTACACTCATCTGTGGTCAACGAATGTCTCAACAATTTTGCCACAAAACCAATAACAATAAAGCACTGCTTCTTTGTTTGATCTTGCTTTATTTACACATGCTTTTGTTTGTGCTTTTTAAAACTCTCTCAGGGTTTGTTTATTTAAATCTCACCTGCTCTTGTTAGTAATTGGTTTCCTATTCCTCTGTGTATATTTATCCTATTATAAAATCCCTGTGTCTTTATCGCTGTTCTTAAACCAGTATGCAAATAACAATGTCTGGACTTGGACGTCCTTGTGTCAGCCTTGTTATTCAAATCAGGTTGCTAAGATTATTTCACTGTCAAGTACTGCTGTACACAATGTGGATTTCCCAGTCCAGAGCAAAGCGTTCCTCTACTTGTGGACACAGTGATTATCAACACATGAGAAGTTGCCTTTTAAGCCAGCTGATCCCATTAACCTTAACTAACTAGCAGACAAACCAAGCTTCACGCTGCCTGCACACACGCACACACACACTGGACTTACTCAAGTGAGACTGCCCTTTCAATGACTCCCCAAAAAGCTGAATATCTAATGTGTCCCACTGTGTGAATGCAGTCATTCTTGATAATACGATAAAAGCAGCACTGCCAACAGGGTGAACAAAATGTTTAGTTCGTCTGACTCCAAAGCAAAGTATCACTTCCACAGATTTTGCATTCACACTACTCTGTGCTTGATACTGCAAAATCAATGAATCTATTTGGCTGATTAACAGCAGCAATGATACAAGAGACTGAAATTGGATTCAGGTCCAAAATGTATCTGACGGGAATGGACTATCTAAGTCTATAATCGAGAGAATGTTAGATCCTGTCAATGCTATTATCTTGTAGCTGGAGACATTGTGCAGGGTAGACCCAACTGAGACAGACTGCGGTTGAGACACGGTATCAGAGCAGAAATCGGAACAAATCAGAAAAGAAAAATCCTTTAGTGAGTGGACTTTGCCTCCCTGTTCACATTTGATTTTATCTGCAGTAGACAGCAAATACTACCGAACAGAAAAACATAGACATTTATCCTCAGACTAACAGCTAGAAACTAGAAAATAGACATTATATGGTGTCTCGGCATGGATATGTATACTCAGTGAGCGCAGGGACACCTGTACACCTGCTTACTCATGCATCCAATCACCAAGCAGAGCAGTGAATTTGGAGATACAGTTTAATCAGTCAATGTTTACATCAAACATTAGAATGCAGACAAAGATGGTATCTTAGTGACTTTGACATGGGCATGATTGTTTACATTCACATTGTCACACACAATAGCCTCTGGATTTGAGTCAGAATGGTGTGAAAAACAAAAGACATCCATTGGGCGGTACATCTACAGATGGAAACGCCTTGCTGATGAGAAAGGTCAGAATAGTTGAGGCTGATGGGAAGGCAGTTAGTCAGAAAACCACTCTTTACAACTGTGGTGAGCAGCAAAGCATCTCAACTTGAACAACATGTCAAACCTTGGGGGGGGGGCGGTTTAACAACAGCAGAATAACACATTATGTTCTACTGCTGTCAGCCAGGAACAGAAATCTGCAGCAGCGAGGTTTAAGACTGAAAAACAGAACCTGGTCTGATGAAACTTAAATTTTACTAAAGTACGAATGGACACAAGAGAGAGACATGTTTGATTGTCTCACTTTGTGCCCTTAACACCATGGTCAGTCAATCATGGCTGACCAAGTTCATCCCTTTGTGGCCTTAATGTAGACTTCCAGCTGGATAATGCTCCATGTCACAAAGTAAAAGTCAAACTGCTTTCATGAACAAGACAGTGAGATCTGTGAACTTCAGTGGCCTGCTCAGTGACAAGAACTGAATCCAATAAAACACCTTTGGGATATGAAAGAACAGAGATTGGCAGCATGAATCTGCAGCTGTCAAATCTGCAGAAATGATGTGAAACACAATCTCAAAGGAAAGTTTCAAACATCAAGTGGAATCCATGTCATAAATAATTCAGGTGGTTTTAAGAGCAAAGGAAGGTCCTACACAGAGTTAGTATGATGTTCCTAATAAAGTAATATGTGAGTGTGCATCAGCTGTGTTGTGGAAGATTGTCATGTTAGTTGCTGGGGATACAACAATTATTTATCAATTAACCTGATGATTATTTTTTTGATTATTCAATTTTTTCAAGATATTTTGCCGGAAAATAGTGACAATGCTCTAGTGATTTCTCAGAGTCTGAGGTCACATACTGTAGACAGATTATTTGCTATATCTGATCAATGACCCAAACACCAAATGATATTCAATTACTGTCCCATTTGATGAGGCAATGTATTTAATACTCAAATTTTAGAAGCTGTAAAAGTTTATGATGATTTAATTTTCTTGAAAAACATTAAGCAACTAATTGGTTGACTGATAAAGTGATTAATCAACTAACTGTTTCAGCTCTAACACACACAAAAGTACATGCTTTCATTCAACACAATGCATCATAGATACACTGTTGCAGTTGCTGTTTTGAGTGATTATGTTCACGTCGACAAGTATGGCAGCATGCGGTGCAACTTCAGTACCTGGATAGTGTACTCCTATCTAGTCCTTTTTTTGCAATGCAAGATCATGGACACTAAAATCACAGGTTCGTTCTCCCTTACAGAACTTACAGCCCATCTCTGTCCACATCATACTACTTCAAATGCGTCCTCAAAAGGCTGCATTCACACGTGTTTTTCTTCTGATGCAATCAACCATCGTGCATTTTTGTGCCAAATGCGAACAGACATTTCGAGCTGTAGCTGGCTAATAACACACAAGCTGCATCCAACCAACTCGGCAACTTGGTTACAGCTTAACAAGCTCTTAATTATATCATGCAGAGTATCCAAACATCTCAGCAGCTCAGGCAGAAAATGTGATTAATTAAGTGGATGTGAGGAATTCATCTATTCTAAGGACGAGGGAAGGTTGGTTGTTCTTGGGTGAGAATGTCTGGCTGTCAACGTGTCCGGGCGCTGGAAGAATTCACACAGAAGAATAGCACCAAGTTTTATTGCTCTATTTTGTTCACAATATTTAGGGTCCTCCAAGCATTCTGTCTCAATTTGGGCAGCATTTTCAAGCCTGACAACATCACTATGGAGAAGACAAATGGGTTGATTTGTGGAGAATAAACCCCATCTCTTTCTATTCCAGCAATGCACTGGCTTGTCTGTCATATCCAGTTTCACAGCACACAGACAAGGGGAGAACATCTTCGAGTGATTATTAACGGAAACATCCAGCGAGCTGGAACTTGTTTCACTGTGTCACAGAGAGCTCAGACACAGGACTGTTAGCTTGGCCTGAGTGTCGAACAGTCTGAAGAGACCCAATGAGTCAGACACAACACTATAGCCCTATGACTCAATATTTCCTGGTTGATTGCTCAATCCAATTCAATTAAAGTGCTTTTCAATTGTGAGGCAAAGTTTTAAATGAATCTGGGCAGTTTTTATATAATAACAAACAACAAACTCTGGCTTGTGGCATGCTAAGCAGTTCATATTAACTCACATGACACAGGTATGGTGTAATGCTCCCATGTAGTGAAAGGGAGGAATAGGGAGGTGGTGACGAAAGGAGGGCGAGTAGGAAGAGAGCCAGTTGCATGTGGATTAGACGAAACAAGAATACGAGGGGAGAAAATGCAGGATCACACCCTATGCTCCCCCCAATCTTTGTTCTCACCACCCCTCTTTGTGTGTTAGTGGGTGTGTGAATGAAGGGAAACAATGGTGTCCCACAGAGCCTGAACACTATAGTTGTGGACACAGTGAAAGGGGTGCTTGGAAAGAGGAGGGCTGGGTGGTATTCAGGCCTGTCTGTCTTTTTCCTTCAAGCACTGTGTGAGTAGACCCTCTGAGGCAGACAGAAACGCCATTCCTTCACTCGCAAACATTGTACTACACCAGTTGCACAGAGGCAACGCAGTTGGGCGGGGAGGGAGGGGTGAGGGAGACCAAACAGAAGAACTTTTCAGACTGAGGGTGGGAGGATAAAGATGGAGGGGGCATTGTAAAGGAGATGTGGTCTCACTTGCCACTGGCCTAACAATGCAGATGAGTCTCCTGCTTTCTCTCAGACTCAAACACAATGGCACCACTGCTTACTGCCGGGTCAAAGCAGGGAGAGGGACCAACATTAGCCCAGCTTCAATCTCTGGCTATACTTCATTTGTCCACCAAACCATGAGCTGAGACTCATTTACGCTTTCAAAAAACTGGATCAGCCAGTAAAATATCCAAATAGCCTGGATATGTTTACGATTTACTCAGCACCGTTAGTCATTTCGTGAGTTTCGTAAGAGAAGAGTTTCCCCACATACAGAAAAAGACTTCTGCTGAAATAAATTGAGCAATTATATTGTAATATTTTATATATGTATAGTCTATTAAAGTTATGGCAACAATGTTTTTAGCTTTTTTGCTAATTTTGAATGACTGTCCTGCACCAAAAATCAATCAAGAAACGACCTCTAAGTCAATGAAGCTACTCTAGTATGCAGCCTAACACAAATAAACACCTATCCACAACAACAACAACAACACATGGCAGAAGAATGACTACTTTCAAACTTTACTAGTGGTTTTAACTCATGTTAACCAATAATAACAGTGAAACATCGTATATTATTCTGCTTTAATTTGCCTTCATCGACGGTGTGAACATTAAGCTAACTCCCAGAATCTTTCAACATACTTTAAATGAGCCACATTAGCTTTATTTTCCATGTGACATCAGAAGAAACAACACACGGTGACTGAAGTAACTTACCCAGAACAGAATGTTGAATCCGAATAAGAAGTATTTCACACAGCAGCTGACTTCGGACCCTTTTAAATGATGGTGTTTGTTTCTGCTCATTCTTCCAAGGATAGTGGAGGCTAACGGCTAAGCTAGGTAACTATCTACTACCGCTGGTACTTCGGGGGCCAAAGCTGCGGGTGTTGAACTGGTGAAGCCGATGCTCGTCGGCTCCATTAGCTAAGGGACGTCGAGTTTACCCGCCGGGACAGCAGTGAGTAAACCAAACACATGAGGCTAGTGAGCTTCTCCTCGCTTTCACAGTTAGCTCGCTAGGCCAGCTAGCTCACAACTTCTCTGGTTAGCAACAGCGGCTAACAACAACAAATCCGGGGACACTTTGAGGCTCGCTCATCTGCAGTTCAGTCGATGTTCAAGTTGCCTGCGTGACTTCGGCGGCGCACACCGGCGGAGCAGGATGAAGCTGGGGGCTCTTCAGCTAATCGTCTTCCTCATTATCTCTGCTGCCGCTGCATCGTCGCTGGAAATCTTCATCCTTGTTGTTTTGTGCTGTAAAACAAGCCCCTGCTGTCAAAGAGGAAACCACTGCGGTGCTTCTCGCCCTTTTCACCTCAAGAGCGGCACCTTGTGTCCCAGTGAGGGCCCTCACCTCACCGAGAGATCTTCTATGTTCACCCAGCACAGAGCAGGGTAGTGTTGAGTTCTGGTTGATAGATGCAGATCTGTCGAGGTTCAACATTTAGTTCCTGCAAAATTAAGAAGAAAACATCAGATCGAACTATATTTTAATACATGGGTCCCAGATTCCATTTGACCCCCATCCACTGTAAATTAGTTACATTTAATAAGAGAAATTAGTCAATTCTTCATATTATGGTCTAACTTGGGGAAAAATAAAACAATATCAACACACACGCACACACACACACGCACACACACACACACACACACACACATATATATATATATAAACACACATACACACACATATACATATATATAATGTATTGTGCACTGTGAGGAGATAACACATCATTTGGTCCAAGAAATTTGTAAAAATGTCTCTGCCCAAAAAAGAGTTTATAAACCACAACCTTCACCCACGAGCAAAAATCCCTCTTTATACGTATAAGAAACACTTATGTGATATTTATCTAGATAATTACCAGTATCTTTTATGGAAATCTTTATTTTGATATCACATTTGGCCATATCTCCATAGTCTAACATATATTTAGTCTGCAAAAAATTGAGTTGTCTACTAACACTTGATTCACAGTTCTCATGCAAGTCTTGCACTTTTTAAAAATTGAATAAATTGTGTGTGACATCTAACACGTATATGAATCCTGTGACTTGTGATCCTAGGATGTGTTAGTGAGCATCCAGGTTAGTTTCACGCTGTTCAGTTGTCACCATAGTGTGAATGAAAATGAAGATGACTGCATGCATAATTAATGTGGGCACTGATCCTGCAAAAGTGTAAGATTTTTATTCCAACACATATTTTCCCATGACATTAGGGCAAAATCATTGGTGTATATAATATCATGAATTACACTGGAAGAACTAAATTAAATACATGTATGATTCGTGACTGTTTTTAATTGCACATGTGATTTCCTTCCTGTTATATTACATGTTACAATGTCTGCAGTGAAAACCATATATCAGAAATGATACTTGAAGAACAGTGGACACTAAATTTAAACTGTATTCCTAATTTCTCTTTTTTCACACCACAGTATTTCTTGGAGACCATGAAACTGAACATGGAGACCATGACGCAAACTGTTGCGTGTACAGAATCAAAGGGTCTCTTCATTTGAACTTCTGTCTGGAGTCCAACAGATGGCAGTCTATGAACCTTTGATAAATGTGGCTTTGGTCTCTTTTTTTTTACCCTGAGGAGTTGCTGCTGAGGACATTTCAGTCTAATAATTATCACCACAGATGTGTAGTATGTTGCACAGTCAAAAGAGGTCAACACTTGACAGTAAAACCAAATGAAACAAGTCTGCAAACAGCCCGCTGTGGCTGAGCCTGTGCATATGTCATTCATTTGGGCAAAAAGCAACTTATGAGCAAATGTTTGTTATTTATTTGTGTGCATAAAAAAATGTGCTTTCATAACAGTTCATTCAAACTATCAATGTACATCAAAATACATGAAGTAGATTATCGTATAGTTTTAACTGAATAGAGTGACGACTGAAGAGGCTTATGAATCCTTGTTGAGGTGGCACAACCAGATTACTGTGGTCCTAGATGTGATAGTTGCATCTTAAATACTCCAAGTGTATAATAATCGGTTAATAACTTAAATATTAAAACAGTATAAGTCTGTGGATATTCTGAAATGGGGGGGCTCTATGGGGCAGGGCCAGCTGACATCTGATTTGCTCAAAGCTTTAGAGCTAACCGTTAACAAGGAATGAGTTCAATGTGCACTTTACTGAATCAGGAATTGTGCATGGGTGTTGAACATATAATTTTCCCCTTTGTGTAAATTGTGGCCCCTAATTATTATATATTGGCCCTGGTTTAGAAAAATCCTTGATCCTTCCCTGTTCTGTATGAATTCCACTGAATATGATGACTTATGTCCCACTATTTCATTTTATTGTATTAAAAAATGGGGAACTACTTTTGCAGTGTACATTACTTTCAGCTACATTACAATTTTCAGTTCAGGGTTAAATTAATAAAGCAATGGACAAACTATACATGATTTAAATTGGTGTGTCATCACTTTTTATTTTGTATTCTTATTTCAGAAATGATACAGTAAGTAAAATTCAACATGAGCTGTGTTGATAAAAAAATCAGGAATGCAATCACAGAGCCAAGAAAAAGCTTGCAAAACTACAGAGGTGAACCAGATTGAAATCTATCCAGGACAGTGTCTTCATCGTGCTGAAGGAGACAGGTCACCCTGCAGCAGGTGTCCCTGTCACTCCAACACACACTGAAGTAAATATTTAGAAATGTGCTGATGCTCTTGGCCCCCACATGTCAGGGAATGAAATAATGATCTGTTGTGTGTGCTGGTACCCGACTGGCTAAGAGGGAAGTGGTGGAAGATGGCTTTCATTATCCAACATTTGAGACAGAGAGCTAGCTGTGATCAGAAGCATATTTATTTGCTGGTCTTACTGTGAATGACACTATTTTGAGCAAATCAAGTTTTAAACAAAGCAAACATAGCTGCTGAAATGGAATGAATAGAAGTGCAAATCAAGTATAAAAAGAAACTATGTATTTAAATGTGTTTAAAATACATATCATTCCTCCGATCCTTTTCTCCCAAACAACATACAACATTCTTACTAACAGTTTTTTTCCCTCATGAATGACATCACTGATATGAAAAAGAATGAAGCTATGATGAGTAAAATCCACAAAAATAGGCATACATACACCAATCTTCAAAACAATTATTACAATCAATATGCCATTTGCACAAGTCTTCGGCTAACATTTGTTTATTCAATTGTTCATCATCAATTCTCAAACCTTTGCAAAAAACCCTTTGAAATCTTTTTTTTCCTCAAACATGGCCACAGTGACGTGTCTTTGTCCCATCTAACCCTGACATAACTCTTCATACTCAACACTACCTTGTTTCTACCATTCTCTGTCAACCTGCCTGTAAACCATACATTCATTTGACCAAATGCAGTACATAAAGCAACATACTATACACTGTGTTAAACTGATTATTGCACTGTGATAGTTATGGATATTATTTATTTTCCAATGATTAAAAATGAATAATAAATTGCAATGAATACTTTAACCATGTATGTTAATGTGAATGCCATGTGTCCTACCTACTGACCACTGTGATTTTGTTATAGAAAAACTATGGAATGCCGTTTAACCTAGTATCACCTACATCAATATTCATCAGGATTTGACTGGATTGTTAAATATGATCCTTAATTAATACAGAACAAGGATAGTGCCTCAACCAAAGTACTGTATAGTCGATTAAGATATGTATTAACACGACTTTCACTTTGTGTGTCCCTTCTTTGCCTAAAACCTCCCTCCACTTCTTCTTGTGCAAGACCAGTAAATATAATGATAATGATAATTCATTAATAATATTCAAAACCACACCCCTTTACTTTGACATTATTCAACTTTAATAGTCACTGTGTTGTGTATGTAAAAAAGTGTAAAAGTCATTTAGAGTCATTTTGAGTCTTTGCACTTTTTGGTGTGTATAGAAGCATACAAGCCACAGCAACTGTGTTATGTAAAAAGCTTGTTCTTGTCACTCTGTACTATGAATGTGAGTCACATAAAAAACTAAAACTACCTTGATACATTAATCGTAGTCCAGGATCAGCAATGAAAGCTGCAGAAAAGTAACCCAGAAAGTCTGCAGAAAGTGTGATTATGCTTTAATCTTTGTCCAGTAAACACCCTCACAGGTCAGTGGAGACGTTGCTCCTCTTCACCCTCAGGCTGCCGCCCCAGCCGCGGGGACAGGTGTTGTAGGAGTGGCCGGGCGACCGGAGGCCCGAGTCCTCTGACTCAACAGAGGCATCAGAGTCAGTGAGGGAGCGAGTGTTGTAAAGCCTCACGGGGGAGCAGATCCTCTGTGTCGGGGTTGGTGGTGGGCTGGTGAAGGGAGGGGACCGGGCCCCCAGTGCACGAGACTGGAAGGGGCTCGTGGGCGGTTTGTGACAGTCGTAGCCATGGTGCGAATTTCCCAGCGGTGAGATGGGGAGGCTGTGACCGCTCAGTGCACCAGGGGACGGGCTGTTTTTACGTTTGGCTGCATTGATGATGTTCTTTGCCAGGAGGCGATGGTTGGCCTTTGAGTCTAAGGTATTAACAATGGGGGACATGCAGCGATTGTCTTTGGCTGGGGGAACAGGAGAGGTGGCAGAGGATGTGTACAGAGGTTTGGTGGCAGCAAAGGATAAACTGTTGTGAGAGGGAGCTGGAGACTGGGAACGTGAACCCCAGGGAGGAGAGATGGGAGATGTGGCTGTGATTGTTTGGGAGGGTCTGGGTGTAGAAACGGGGCAGACAGCGGAAGTATTCTGGTTTACCATTGGCGACTGACATCTCGACCCCCAAGGAGGAGAGATGGGAGACGTGGCTGTGGCTGTTTGAGAGGGTCTGGATGTAGAAACGGGGCAGACAGTGGAAATATTCTGGTTTACCATCGGCGACTGGCATCTCGAACCCCAAGGAGGGGAGATAGGAGTTGTCACTGTGGGTGTTTGGGAGGGTCTGGGTGAGACAACAGCAGAAGTATTCTGGCTTACCATTGGGGACTGACATCTCGACCCCCAAGGAGGTGAGCGTGGAGAGGTGGCGGCAGATATCTGCGAGGGTCTGACTGTTGTGGTTGAGTTAACAGTGGAAAACTGGATATTCTGACTGGTCATAGGTGACTGGCATCTAGAACCCCTGGGAGTGGATACAGGGGAAATGAATGAGCGGTTGGAGCTGGAGGTGGTGGTAGAGGGGCGATTAATTTGTAGGCCGGACGTCCAGGCTCCTGAGGCGGGACCCTCTGGGCTGCTGAAACGTCTGGTGAGACTGGGTGTCCTGGTTGTTGTGGGAGTATCACTTGAGGTTTCAACTGGGGTTGAGTCCTTTGGCGTCTGTAGGCAAAAATATAATAATTACAATTTGTTAAGGGAGTAGAGTTGGCTCTCACAAACATGCATACACAACTATAACAAATAAACATACAAAACAAGAGTGTGATTATTTTCACATTGGAATAATTAAATTCTTAGAATTTGATTTGACCGTGACTTTACCTGACAAAGCTATTTCATTAAAGCTTCTAAGTAAATTTGTTTGATTAATTATTGTTTATGTGTTCAGTCTGAGCCCCCAGTGTAAGTCAGGTCATCTGAGTGTATTCCCTTCTGCTGTTTGTGTTTCCTCAAAGCCTGGCCCCAGTGTACACAGCAAGGCCCAGTCTTCAGTGTCTCTCTCAGGTTACTGTAACCTGGCCTTGCTGAGGTGGTTAACCTGAACTTGGCAGTCCATGTTAATATGCTTACTAATTCAGAAATAACAGTCTTTGCTCAGGATAATAATATGAGGACAGTCGGTTGAGTTATAGTCTGAACTGCTCAGATCAGTATCGTGGCAAGTTATGATCTTTTAAGATGTGGTCATGTTTCAAAAGGTCAGGGCATCTGTGGAGGAAACAAGACCCAGATCAAGGGTCACATCATTTGTCTGAAATTCTGAGCCCCTGAGGAGAGGATGAAACAAGCCCGAGGGTCAGGTCTTAACACAAACACACATAACAGATTCTTTTGAAAGTGTAAAATATCTTCAGATGCTGAGTTGAGCTTATTTTCCAACTTTAAATGTCAGATACTGTTTTAAAAATAGACCTGGCTGCTTGTGTCAATAATCTGTTTACTTAACCATCACGTTACATCTATTAGTGTGGAGTGATTGCAAGAAAGAAAAGAGAAATAACGAAGAGTTAATGTTAAAAGTCAAAGTCTGAAAGAAGTAAATGAAGTCAGAAAGTAGGAAAAAGGAGAAAGAGCACAGTGTTAACACAAAGCTTTAATTACAGAAGGAGAGATTAGCTTTAACAAAGAGCAAATCAATCATAACAGACAGGATAACAGCAGAAGAGAAGAGTAAATCAAGTTTTATAAACAGAAACATACATAAACCCTGACTGATGACATCCTGGGAAAAAATACATATGGAAATACTAATTTATCTCACAAAAACAACAAATATGTAGATCTTCGATGCAAATTAGTATGCACCCTACCTGAGACATCAAAGAAGTAAACACCATGAACCATATATTTAGGTAGAAAAAAAAAGCTTGAAAGTGTAGTGTATTACCCTGAAGACATAAAGACATAAAAGGAGCTCTCTTGCTGTAACTCTCATGTCAGTGAGCAGCATTAAATTGCAAATCATAGATCATAAAGCAGATGCCAGACCATCTGTTAAAGTGCTTTGTGAAGCAGCATCACCCTCGTGACCACAGGACTGGGAGACAAAGTGGAAAGAGTGTGAGGTTGTTTCTCATTATTTTTTGAGAGGCACAGAGAATGGAAGTGCTGACGTGCTCAGCAGCTTTGGGTTTAGCAACTTATCTGATTCCATCAAGGCGCTTTTTAAAAATTTTAACCAAGGATAAGGATCTTCATTTGGAAAAAAAAATGGAAAATTAAGATAATTATGATATGTTCTCTTCCATAATTTTAGGAAATTCTACATTATATAGTGTGATTACTTACCAATATCGGAATTTGAAATTCATTGTGGCATACGGATCTTATAGTATCTATAGGGCAAGTATTTTACAATTTCAAGATTCAATCATTTCACATCTAAAAAGATTCAACTCTAAATGTTTCTACAGTGTAGGAGATGGTACAATGAAAGAAGAGGCACAAGAAGGATGCGTAAGTTTAAGAAAAAAGTGCATTAAATTTGAAAACTGAAAACCCTCCAAATCAAAATGAGTTTCACAATCATATGCATCATTTCTACAAAAGACCCAATCCCACTAAAGACATTTTATTCTAAAAGTGATACAGAGAAGGTCTCCACACCTGTGGTGCAATCCCTGCCCTCTTGGTAGAAAACGTTGGCCTTGGTGCCTGGACCCCTGATCGTGGAGAGGACACTCGCTCTGGAGAAAAGGCAGGCATAGGAGAACTGATCTTTGGCTGCCCAGGAGCTGGATTAGACAGATATTCTGCTCCACCTGGGGGACTGAGAGGCAGCTGAGGAGACATGCAGTGGGTACGGAAGTGAGAGGGAGGGTTGTGGGGCAAGGAAGTCTGTCTTGAGAACGTTTGGGTGGAGATCATGTTCTTGGCCGGTGGTGCTCCTCTGGGTAGCGTACTAATGGGGTCCTTAACAGGGTTAAAGGTGAAGAGTGACGAGTTAATCTGGTAGGGCCGGTGCCTCGATAGGTCCATCTCTATCTTGGAGCATCCATTCTCTAAGGGTGGCGGCTCCGGAACCGGAGGTGGTGCTGGAGCTTTTTGCCTCGGTTTCTGCTTGATTGCCTGTTGGGCCTTTAGGTTTTGTGAAAGCTGAGTGCTCATGTCAGAGTTTTTAGCAATGGCCTTGACTCTCCCAGGCATGTTTGATGGGTAAACCCAAGATGGTGGCAGAGACATCGTGGGAGACGGAGACCTCATTTGACCTGCTTTCTGATTATCAAGAACAAATTTCTCCATCCTGGACTGACGCTTGGCAAACAGCTCAGCCCCCTTTCCAGAGACATTGGTGAGGGTCTGTTCTGGCCTGTGCTCTTCTCTGGGTCGGGTCCTGGAGCTCTTAAGACAGGAGGCCCACTCTGGAGCTTTAGCCTCATCTTTCCTGTCCTCTTCCTTGGCGAGGAAGTTGGAGGCCTCTGCACCCAGAGCCAGTAACTCTTCCTCAGATGTTGGCTCTGGAACAGATCTAAGTCCGTGTTTCTTCCTGTCATCCGCCCCTTGCACCAGAGACAGCAGCTCAGGGTTCGGAGCTACCACCTGCTTCTCTTTGAATGTGAACATTGATTTCCTACTTGCCCTCTTAACCGCCCCCTCCTCAAGTATCCCTGTTTTGATCGTTGTTATTGGCCTACTCTCTGTGGAGGGCTGAGGAGCAAAGTTGGAGGGCTTTGGGGCCTTGGGTGGGCCGTAATGAGGCATGGGTGGGTAGTGAGATACAGAAGAAACTGGGAACTGAGATGGTGGAGGGGAGGAAGGCGACATCACTGGAGACATTGGAGTAGGACTGGAGTAGTAGGCCTGCGGCGGGTGGTTTGTGAAGGCCGGTAGAGGTGGCGTGGGATACGATGGAGGTGGAGGAGGAGGTGAGAACGCCACAGGTTGCGGAGCAGTGTAAGCTGGCAGAGGAGGAGTGGTGTAGGAAGGAGGAGGGGGGATGTTCATGACAGGGCTGGCTGCCTCTGGAGACTGCACTGTCGGTGGGGAGAAAAAGGGCCTGGCAGTTCTGTTGATGATGGCACTTGTCTGCTTGGTTGTGGACACAAACGCCCTGTCTGATCCAGAGGCACCGTGACAGCCGTTAAGAAACGTTCCGCGGGGAGCCGGCCCTGAAAGCCCCCCATTTATCTCTGCCTCCTCTTCAACATGCCCAACCATGACTGGATCAGTATTATTACTTCCTGGGGGAATCTCCTCCGTGACTTTGTCCTCATGGATTTTATATCTCGCCTCTTCGTCTTCCTCCTGCTCCTCCTTGACAGGCAGGAAGTGTCTCTCTTGGATAACACTATCCTCCACATCCTCCTCTTTGTGGAAATCTTTACATGGTTCCTCCATGATGTGACCTACTGTAGGTACCCTGACAGGTGACGAGAGAAGAGGCTTGGTGGCGCTATTCTTCAAGTTGAGATCTCTATCGTGTTCCTCACTGCTCCTCTCTGCCCATGTCAATTTGTTGGACAAGGCCGTGGTTTTCAAATTCTCTGCTCTTTCCTCCTCTGAGCCCTCTCCACAGCTTTCAAGCGTGAAAGCGTTGACCCTCTGCTTCCGGCGGTTGAAGAGCTGCACGCCCCTAGAGCTGGAGTTGGAAGGCACGGTGAGCTGGGCGGCGATGATTTGGCTCCTGACCCGAGCCTCTTTGAGCTCCTTCTCTGATAAACTGGCACTGCGGGTCAAATCTGAAGTGAAAAGGAAAGAGAGTGGACTGATCAATGAAAGGAACAATGGATTTAGTTGTTTTTTTCATTATAGTGTTGTTTGATTATTGGTCAAACTGACCCAAACCATACTATTTAAACATACGACACTCCCTCAACATCCAATTAAAGCTCACCACAGGGCTCTTATGTACAAATAGAGAGAACCAGCAAGGACACATTTTTAACAAGCCTGGGATTGAATATTTTTCTTAAACCCACATAATTGTCTCTGCACCATGTTTTTTATTGTTCATTGCTGTACTTTTGATTTCTTCCAGCGAGACAAAAATACAGCTTTGAGGACTGGAGGTGTAGACAAAGAGCTAACAGACATAGGCCGAGAAACATTTCAAATAAACAATTTAATAGGAAAGTTGTAAAAGCTTAAACTAAAGTTAGTAAGAAAAATTATCTGGGTCATTGTCTGCTATGGGATCAAAAAAATGACCTGATTCTGCAGTTCGCTGACCACTTTGAAATTAAGAGCTAAAATATGTCCGTGTTAAAACTGACAGTTTGTTTTCTGAGCTTAAGAGCTCCATTCCAGGCAACGGAGCTATTTCCTCTGCCATCTGCAGTAGTCCCTCCCTGAGCATTCCTCCACCGCTGAGGAAAAACTCCCTGCCTGAGCTTCCAACATGCCTTTGGTTTCTCTGTGTAGTTAATTTGTGCGACGCTACAGCTCAAACCCTTAATAGACCATTTTTTACAATCTACAGCTTCCAAAAAGGACATATTTCACTTGCTGTCTATAAACATACTATACAATCAAGTGTTCCCAATCTTAAATATAGTGACTGCATCGTGCTTCAAAGTTCATGAGAGGAAAATCAAAGCTGCATCACTTTTTTTCAGACTGGTGGAAAATATTTAACGTTGCTCCAGGCAAGACTCTTTTTTCATTTAATGAGGTGATGGATCCAGACAGCAACATTATATGGTGTAATCATGTGTCAGTCACACTAACAACACGGTATACATTTTGAATGAATATTTTTTCTGCCACAGAGTATAAAGCTAACAATTCCCTCCAGTAAAAAGAGTAATATACATCAGTCATTGATTTTTACAGACTTTAAGTCTGCCCTCACAGTAATCTATTTAACTCTTTCCAGTTTTCTCACAAATACTCCCCTGTCAAGATCACAAGGATAAATTCATTTTGTTACTTTTATCGTATTCTTTTAACTAATAGAAAGGGACGATGGGGCCCGTTTGGATTATATACATCATCATTGCATATACAAGCTCGATGACTGTTCTCATGTGTGAAGGGAAATGCATCAATGTCAGTTTCAACTGTGTCACATCAATCAACCTGACACTGACAGAGGAAAAGACGGAGCGTGACCCTAAAAGGGATATCATAGATCAACCCCATTAGATATATGTGATAACAATATAACAAGGATAAAAACATCATCGCACAACCTTTTAAACAAGCACCCCCCTCAGCGCTGTTGGCATGACATAAATCATTGTCTTTTATAAGCTGCAGCAGAGATGTGAAGCGGCCCTGTTGCACAGGTACTTATTGTTTATTCAGATGCTTTTATCAGGGTTGTCAATAACTAGCTCAAAGGTCTCAATAACGACTGTTATTTGCCATTTACTGTTTGTAATCCATGCTGCCATGATATACCTGAGCAGTGAGACATGAAATGAGATGTCCTCACCATAAACATCTAGCCTCTGCTGTGAGCCAGAGTTTCTTATCAAGTAACATGCAGGTGCAAATGCCATCAGTGACCAAAATACAAATGATATCGATTTAGATTTGCATCTTCTTCCCCCTTTTCAAGCTAAGTCATTGTAACAAAACTTAGTAATAATTAAACAACTGTAGCCACCTTTCCAGATGGGATGATCAATCAACAACCCATAATTGGAAATAAATCTGATTGAAAGAAATTAATTCATGCTATTTTTAGGTTCCAGTGCAAATTACGTTATAGATCACAGCAGGGCAATAAATAAATAAATAAGTTAGTTTCAACTTTAAGTTCAGTTGTGAGGGGGGGGGGGATAAAAGCAAAGGTTTATGGACAGTTAAGTTGATGTCATCTGATACAAAAACAACACACTCCTAAGTCATATTAAGTCATATATAAGTAAAAAATCTCACCAGAAAATAATCCTCTCCCTGAGTCATCACTTCAGTGCCTAATCTCTTACCTTCTTTTCCAATTCAAAACTCAAGAGCTCCGGCGTTTTCTAGTACTTCCAGAGGAGTTTTCAATCTAACTGCGTCTGATTCAGCTTCACACCCCCTTTCTGTACCGAGTCTGAGCCACAGGATCAGGTTTCTTCCCCTCCACAGCCCAGCACAGAGGCAGGCAGAGGGAGAGAGGGAGGGAGGGGGCTGTAGCTGGAGGCTGTGCTGTCTGTCATTCAGCCTCCAGCCATTTTTAACTTTTTTTAGTCTGTGTTACCACCATCTCCACTGGGTGCGCACTTATTATAAAGAATGAGACATGCCTCTGAGAAACAGTGCTCATGTGGAGAAACTTTTGTTTTGACAGCTCTGGAGAGATGTCCAATCAATGGTGGTCTTATCTCTGTCTAATATCCTGTGATGGCAGGCAAGTGTCTGACCCTGGTTCAAGTCTTTGAAGTGGAAAGGGAAGCCAGAGATACAGGCTGCTCCAGCTTATTAGACCACTGGGACACCAGAGCTCCAGCACCTCTGCTGCCCTGCACGTCTGTCTGGACAGCGCCATGTGTGTTCACTGTGCGTCCTCTGCCCTCTGTGAGTCCTCTGGGCCATGAGCTCCAACCTGCAAGTGCAGGATAGGAATTTCCTGTCCTCCAATCGAGACAAGACTCAGCCTTCAAAAGATGATGCAAGAGCCTCTACATTACATTGTCCACCTCCCCCTACCTCTAACTTGCTCTAGATCCCTCTGCCCTTGGTCCTATCCCTGAGATGGGAACACTCCCCGACAGCAGTAGGATTTAAGTCAGGGGGCCAACCATGCATTTGTGTATCAAAGGTCAGATTACCCTGTCGGATGTTATCTTTCTCCAGGCCATGGCTGTGCGGGATGACAGCACCGGCTCCTGTGGGTGATGTGTGAAGCCATATGGAAAGACAAGGATTAACTGGAGGTCCTGGGCCCTTACCAGGCTGAATTTGACCTCAGCTCCAGGGTGGATCCCATGGGGGAAATACAAGACCAGCCCAGAGGTTGAAACTGAGCCCCGCTGTTCATATTGTTACTTTTGTGCATTATGAACGGTCCCTGCAGAGGTGCTGTTGACTTTTACGCCTTTGTGTTGATTTTGGGGATTTCTGTTCAACTTGAGGCAACTAATTAGTGGGTAATGAGTGATGAGAACAGTGCTGTAAGAGTGCAGAGGCTGGAGATTTTTATCAGGGCCTTGACTACGTAACAATATTAAATGGCCACAACCTTTCTGTTATGCTTCCTCACAGCACAATGTCCACAATGTTTTTTTTACGGTCTTTGAATACAGCGTCTGACAAACCCGTCACCGCCCAGAGGTAATAATATCTCCATATTGTTTTTTAATACTGCTATTTAACTACATAATGATTCTATGTTATTATAGAGCTGAGTTAACTCCTCTCCTCTTCCTTCTTTTGGAGTTGGAAATTGTGAAAGAAAAATAGAAAGGTCTGGAAAAAGTTTCCAAACAGCTTCTCCCAGAAGTTAGGCCATTATTGTCAGTGGCTGTCTTGTATTTTAAGTCTGCCCTTTAGCGGTGATGCTTGATTGCATTTCCATTGGTGGTAGGACAGCCTTTTTTTACTTTTTAACAGCATGGAAACAGATGTTTCATCGAGTATTTCACTGCGTCAAGTAGTACTGATGACGCAGGGCTGCCTGTTTTCTCTATTCGCTGTCTCAGCCGCACAAGTTCTGAGAAGATGATAAACAACAGTTCAAGCTATACTGTAGCATCACAGCTGCATTACAAACAAACCACTGAAAATGTACAAGTGTCTAGATAGTCACAGAGTAACAGAGCACTTTCATGCCACTGCTTGGGCTCCACAATTAAAGAAATAAAATGCCTTACTTGTTTTCCGGCTCATATGTTCTTTGTTGAATCCTGTTTTCTCCCATAATGCATTGCACTCTGTCCCAGGAGTGTGCGTGTCTTGCGTTGCCTGGAGAGGTTTTCTCTGTCCTGCTGGACTCCAGCTCACCCCTCTCCTGATTGACGTATGTCCCATATTCATCTCCATCGCTACCCACAGTTAAAATACTCCTGCTGCAGCAGAAACAAAAAGCCCTGCAGCAGTGGGAAATGGGACGGTTTAGTTCCAGTCAGGTCAATCTTCTCTCCTGATAAGATGAAGCCACTGATCCAGCTGGAAGATGGGAAGTTTTACTCCTCACTGGCTGGCAGTGAAAAAAGTTTGCAAACACAAGAAGACAAACCAAAGGGCGGACGAGGAAAGAAGTAGCTCAGCTTTCCAGTTTGCTGCTTCCGGCCATGGCTCCCCTTTCAGCAACAATGCCTCCAAAGGTTGTTCTGTAGTCAGCGGAAATTTGATGGAAGAAGTGTGCTCTCACTTTGGTCCTCATGAAGTATTATTCTCTGTCTAACAGGACCTTCCAGCAGGGTCAGCTCCAATGTGTCTTGGATGAGCTCCCGTGGATAACTGCCACGAAAATTGCACAAGTTTGTTGTGCTCTGTTCAAAATCTGGCAAAGACGGGTGAGAATCAGTCCAGGCTTCTCTATTTGCATCTCTCTAGTACTCCGTTTTTTTCCTTTCCCAGACTTTGCTCTTCCTCCTCTGCTATTTCGGTCACCAAAACATGCTTTTCGTCTGCATCCGTATCTCCAGCACAAAGATTATTTTTCTCTCTGAGAAAAGGATCTGCCCTTTATCTTGGAGATCATAACTCTGCAGTGACGTGAGGGGGGACTGTGTATGTGGGCGCTTCCTGCTGTTAGGTGCATGTGAGGAATAACATTTCGCTCTGGAAAGGTTATTCCACAGACTGATTTGTATTCAGAGCTTTAAAGCAGCCAGTTAGTTTTGCTTTACTGAAGTTTCCTGTGGTATTTGTTATACAATAAAGCCAGATCCAGCCTTCACAGGCTCAATGTCTTTCTTGTGTTTGTTCACGAAACCACAACCAAGGACATTTCTTTTGTCGATTGAGGAATCTGGGAGTTTTCATGAATGTAATAATCCAGCAGTCAGCAGCTGCTACCCACAGATTTGATTTGTATGTTTTGCTCCTAGTAAAAAATAGATTATATCTGAGTTCGGATTCTTCAGCCAGTTTTTAGTTTGGTGAACGTAGCTTAATAAATAAAAGGTCTTTTATAAATCTCCACGTCCATTTTGCAGAATAACCTGTGAAAAGAGAAATATGCAGGTTTAATTCAAGTTATGCAAATGTAAAAACCATCAAAATCCAACAGTTTTGTTATTTAAAATGTGACATTTACACAGATAAAAGCTAGATATTACATCTATTCAGAACTTTGGTAAACCGCTGGTACAAGAACTCTGCTTCATTCTCCATCATCACCCTTTTTATAACGACACGAGTTTCAGCCCACTGCTTTGTACAGGACTTAAAGTATTATCATGATGCTTTCAAGGAAGCAGTCCAAAAACCTGGCCTTTGTGCTGACTGTGAGGCCGCAGTTTGTACAACTGGCAAACCTGGCAAATGGGGAAACTCAGTTTGGCTCATCCAACACTTTTAATGAACACAGCTTGAGCATTAAAACGCACAAATCTAAACCTATTTTCGAGACAATGCAAGTCTTTAAAGATGAAGACTAGCGCCCTCTTTTTGAACTTTAGTTTGGCTAAAAGGGTGTAGCAGGAAATGAAGATATGCAGTTATAAAAGTCTGGACATGATAAAACTTCAAATATGGAAGGAAGGTCACAATTCATTAATTCTTGAATGTCAGAAATCTGCCAAATAATTAGTGTTATCTGAGCCCACGCCTGTGATGTGATATGAGGAGACAAACAAAGATGTGAATGTCCCACAGTGACATCCATTGCATTCCTTCTTCTTATCTGATAAAGCATTTCATTAGATTCACAGTGTCACATTTCCCTCTTCAAAGCTAATAAGACCCACTGGCAAAGTTTGTAATGACAAACCCGTGTTTGCACGTCCTTGTCCTTGATCAGACTTGCCTCTCCTTGACGCTGATCAGGGCTGCATTTGTTTTCACCCGTGACTCACCACTGTAACACTCAGGAGTGGGTGGCCTGTGCCGAGGACGACGCACATAATCATTATCTTTTAACTGTCTGGTTTCTCAGGGGCCTAGCAACCACGTACACGTTTGTCTTTTCTCAAGGTTTGTGAAGATGTTCTGCAACGCGACTGCTGAGTCACAGGGGCGGATCCAGGGGCGCAGCCGGTGGGGGTGGAGGGTTGGGGGCACGAATTAAAGTGCCCCTGTTCTGTCTTCATTAATTTTTATTTTCTCAGCTTTTCTGAAGTTCACATTGTGCTTGAACAAGAAACAATGCTCAAAATATATGTTTGCTCAGAGCTGTCAAGCTAACAGTAACAAGGACTGACCTAAATGTGCACCTTACAGTATCTGGAATTGTACATGGATGTTTGACATATAATTGTGTAATTTCGAAAAATCCCAGATGTGCCACTGATGTGACTGATGGGTCATGACTCATGACAGTCTTATTCCTCAGAACACAATGGTCCAAACACAACACAGCCCCACCTCCCTGCAGAAGAGTTTTGCTTACTGGTGTGAATGTGTCAAGTGAGACAAGATGAAAGCTGGTATTGTTTAGACACCTTTTGACAATGGGGCTTTGATTCCCCCAGTTGTGTTATCTATGCTGGGATCAAACTGGATCTCATCTGGAATCAGAAACAGTCTCTTTGGATTCGTTTTCACCAGGCACCCCCAATGGTTTTTCTGTTATTTACTTTAAACACAGTTGTTGTTCCAAGACTTCACATGCGAATGTAATCAATGGGAACAGAGAGGAACATGTATCAAGGGTTCCCTCTGGTCCACTGCTGTAGCAGATTGATTAAAATATGGTTTAATTGTTGTCTTTCGATCCAATCTGACAATATTTATTAAGTACTGGACAGAGAACAGACGTAGGAAACTTTAAACTGTGCAGAGATGCATTATCGCTCTGGCTCAGAAAACAAAACACCAGCATATGGACTCTCCAAATCCACAACTGCAACAATCTGTTTTCTCCTTTTTGTTCGTCGGCCCAATTTGTTAATTTCCATCTCGCTTGCTGCGTTTCATCCAGACGAACTTGGGATATCTCCCCCGCTCCAAGTGATCCTATCTACTCGCCATACCTAAGACCTGATGTCATCTCGCCTCCTCCCCTCAATTACCTTGAAGTTCAAAAGGTACTTTTACAGTGCCCACCTGTGCTGCTCCGCTCACTGTGCCACCCATTGACCTCCACGTGAGGAGCCAAGGATATCATTTACAGTTTAGCCCGCCGGCCACTGTAGAGCGTAATCACAGAGTTCCTGTACATCGTCAGTACGTGACAGATTCATATGTAGACAGCAAAATGTATCCCACAGCTCCCTGCAGCATGTCTCACATAGTGATGACACACAAAGGAAATGCTCTGGCTGCGGCACAAACCGTAATCACTCATACGTCCCTTGTGGCCGTAGTGTTATACATTTATCACACATCTGCAATCAACGGCCAACGTGTTGAAAGCCTGTCAGTCACCTAATAAATCATATAGTGTGTGCATTGTTACCTCAGGTATTACATCTGTACATCATCTGTGGCTCTGCCTCAATATGTGTCCAGGTTGAATGGGAAAGCCTTCCCAGACTTTTGCACCCCACTAAATGTGAGATGTGTGGTGAGCACGCATTCCAGCCACTGAGACTTGAAAGTTTATCAGACAACAAAGCTTACAATGAGACATCTGGTCCGGAGAGCGATGAGCAAACCTTTATGACTGAACCCCTCAGGGGCAGAGCTGCCGTGTGGCTGCTGTGCATGGCTCCTTTAAAGTTTGGCATGCAAAAAATAATAATTCTGCAGTAAATGGCATAAAGGCTTTAACAGGGCCCTTTGCTCTGTCTCTCTCTCTCTCTCTTTCATTCTTTCTCTGACTCAGACAAAAGAGCCATTCAGCAGTGCAAAATAATTTTGGATAGTGCTCCAAAATTGGCATTCCTGAATCATAATTCCTCAGGAGTCTGTGATAGTCGACATGCCTCGACTTGTGCCCAGCTGATGACTGACATGTAAAGCTCTGCATGGCACAGGCGCCAAGGAAAGTCACAATTTTCTCACCACTCTACTCCTTCTTTTCAAAAATCCTGTGAGTGCACTCATTAATCATGCAGAGGAGAAACCTTGTGATGAAGTGTCAGCTTCATGTGCAGCTCATCCTACTCTCTCTGAGACGCAGGTGGAGAACTTCAAGAGGCAGAGATAAATACTTGAAGTAGGTACGTGTGATCCGGTGCCAAGAGGGAGGAACCCTCCAAAACAATCAGAGTCATAATCTGAAAACTGTTAGAAATGAAAGGAAGGAAGTACAAGCATATTTTAAGAATGTAAAACGTGCATAAGTAATACCAATACAGCAGGAACTATATGCACAGTATGACTGTTTTTCTCTTCACACAGAGACAAAAAAAGTTTTCTGCAGTTTTAAATCTTATGCTAATATATGCAAGGTAACATATGGCTGAATAGAACCTGCCATCGCCCCCTGTAAATCAGTTAATGGCTCTCACCTGTTGTGTTAACAGGAAGCAATTACTTATATGCCTAAGTCAATACAGTCTCCAGCCAGGTCTTTAATTAGATACACTCTCTAATGTTACACAGTGCAGTTCAACTCTATAACCTGGCTAAACCCCAGGCTCCACACATTCAGGACAATAGGCTCAGATATCAGGGACCACAGTGCTAATGTGGCCAGCCAACCCCCCTTTCTCTGCAAGTCTGCAAGCCTACACCGAGGGAAAAAACCCCACAGCAGCCAGCCACAGATGTTTGTCATCTGCACAGACAAAGACTTTCAAAGTTTCCCTCCTCTTCTGCTGTAGTTCCCTGCTCCCCTCCTTTCCTCTCTGTCTCTCTCTTTTCTGCAAAAATAGACAACGTCTTACCCCAAGTGGACAAATGTAACGGGCTGCAGGTGACAACGTCTGCAGCGATCAGTCTCACAGCAGCAGATAAAATTCCAGGGGTTTTGTGCTCCTTCCTGTTTGCTGGTGTTGTCACGCTGCTCACCTGTACTGTAGTGGGTCTGGCTGTGTGAGGCAGCCAGAGTGTGCAGCACTGCCCCTTTTCAGTCCCTGCACACACGCCTCCCCCTTTTTACCTCTCCCCCTCGCTCCCTCACTCCCTCAATTGAAACAGAGAAGGATGGGGTTGGGAGGGGGGTCAGTTGGAGCACAGAAGGCTCTTTGTCTGGGATCTTTTCATATGGTTTCCTTCAAGCTTGCATACTGAACACATTATGCTATAATATATTTTCATATTCCACACAGGGATGTCGAGGCCCCACTCTGTTCTCTTGCCCCCCTTTTTCTTGCAATTTTTCCCGCCATGCACCTCTGGCCAGACAAATCCAAATAAAGAATGACTATGCAGGAAAAATGTCTGAGTCAAGTTCGTGCTAAAACCCACAGAATCTGTTGATGCAGTGCCTGGCTGTTTTTGAATAATAAAACACACAAAAATGAAACACCAGGTATGGAGACCCCATAGAGCTTTTTTACTGTGTGTTTATTGCTCAGGACAGTAACTCGTGGATGCTCTGGCAAATAGTATACAATCTCTAGCCTCTCTGCAGGGATGTTAATCCTTAGATTCACTAATAAAATGCCATATCTCCAAACATTGATCGACTCAAGAGATCCCACAAGTGCCATATAGAGTCCAAAAGTAACATCTGGTTCGCTCCATAGTGTCTGAGGCTCAGAAATTATTATGTCTTTGAGATTTACACATCTACAGTCTTGTGCAGAGACATATAGAGCTACATTGCACAAATCTTTTAAATATTACATCCTAAAAAACAAAGCCCCCCCCCCCCAGTGAGGCTCTGGCTGTGAGCACTGGATTGCAAATGCATGGCTGCGAAAATATGTACTGCTCAGAAATATCCTGATGATCTTTCAGCCATAGTATATGTTTACTGGTGCAATTATTCTGTCTTGTGGATCACCGCTCTTTCAAAAAAAAAAGGTTACCCAAAGTTTACCGGAAGGGGCAAAACCAAAAGCATCATTTTCTGTATCTTTAGTCATTCAGAAAGTGTCATCTGTTGGTGGCATTTTTGTCTGAAATATTCTTTTCAGCACCTTTCCTCACCTGATGGATGGATGGTGCTGCCAGGCAGTTCAGACAATCCATCACACGGAGTCTACTTAAAGTAAAGTCTCAGTGCTGCCTCCGCCATCACTTTCCTCCCACTCCCACTCTCCCTCTCTGTATTCTTCTGTCATTTTCTTCTCTTTCCTCACACGTCTGTCACCAGATTGATTTTCCTTCTCCTTATCTCTGTGAGTCCTCTCTTCACAGTCTCACTTTAGGCTACTTACTCAAGATTTTCCCCCTCAGTCTTCCTTCTCTTCATCGCCATTCCTGTGCGCCTTCTCCTTTGACCCAACCTCTCCTGACATGTTTGTATGTGTAAGACCCCATGCAGCTGGGAGAGCAGCCATTAGCCGCTGTGTCTACGTTTTTTCTTCTGTCTCCCTCTCTGGCTCTCCAGCGGCCGGCTTGGCTCTGCTCTTCTGGCGTGACTCTGAAGGGCAGCTGTGTGTATGAATGTGTGTGTGGGAGACCAAGGAACTGAGGGGAAATCTTCGCACACATTCCTTCAGAAGAGGGGCTTTTGCTGCAAAGAGAGCGCGGTGGAATTTCCTAAGTGATCTGGTTTGCATTCCCTCTCAAGTCGGATCTATCTACAGAAGTTATTAAAGAGTCTTTGCTACAGCCAAGGCCTGAATTGATTAGAATCATACACAGGCCCCTCTCCGCTTTCTCGCTCACCCTATCATCCCTCGGCACATCCCTCTGGATGTAATGGGATACAGCCGTGGGGCTGTTCAAAGGCCCAGCCTCAGTATAAACACAGTGAAAGGCAAAGAGAGAACGGGAGATAATTCAGCATGCTTGTGGATGTTTTGATGGGTAGATGTTCCTTAGTGATTACGAGGCACATGAGGCATGGTGTGCTTGAGAGCACAACTCCATACGAATTGTGTTTCTTTACCGATCTTCTGGACATGTATGTAGGACTAATTTGGTGAAGGCTCTGCTCATGTTTCAGCTCTGCCTCTGTTTATTTTCAGTGAAGCAGACATCTGTATTTCTCATACGCACGACCTCAGAGGGTGTTGTGGTCTGAGGCAGCAAAGAATAAAGCCTGGTAGATTCAGGGCGTGTCCACTTGTGGTTTGATGATGTATACTACTGTAAGGCCACATTAGAAGAGAAGCAGTCGGTCCTACAATTCCTTTATAGTATCACTTCATAGCTTTGCCTGATAGACAACTCATTTCTCTCTTGAAGTAAAAGCAGGCTGGGATGATGACCTGGCGCCGGCTAATACAATAAACCACACGCAAACTTTTCTGAATCCAATCTATATGCTAAATATACTCCATGGCACAAGTCCCACTACGACAGACTTTTGTGGTCTCAATTGCTTCCACAGACTGGGCAAAGCTTCTGAGTTGCTAGTGTATCCTGGAGTCCTTTTTTGTTGTTGTGTGTGTGTGTGTGTTCATTTATGTGAGTGCCAGACTTGGACCCACACCACCATAAGCATATGGCGGGAGCCCCGGTGCATTAATTCACAGACTGAGCCCAAACCACAATCAGCTGGCTCTGTCTCTATGTCTGGGTAAACTGTCGAAACACACACACACATACACACACTCACACAAGGAGCCAGCTCTGCTATTTACAAATAAAAAAAACAACACAATCAGCTATAGCACCATTGCCTCCTTTAATGTGTTTTTGGCAACAGTGCTGCTCAGACAGGAGGGAATCAGAAATAATTGCAAGTGAATCTCGGGGGGCTTGCCCTGGATTCAATCACTGTTTCCTTCGCTAACGGCTCATCTGGATTTTATTTGGAATGTTTTAACGTGATAGATTTGTGCAGTTATCTAGTTTAGAATCACACTCCGCTGTGTTCACATTGCCGCAGCGGCCAAAACAAACAAACAGCGGATGTTGCAGAAAGTTTTGGTCAATGTCATTTAGTCTGAGTTTTATGAGTAGAAGAACAAACAGGCCTTGTTTTCCAATGGACAATAGATTTCATATAAGGATGGACATGGTGGCTCCCATAAAGTGAAGCCAGGTGGCTGACTGCAGCATAGGTAATAATCCCTGCCCCCTCCATGTTATGGTGCATTCACACCAAAGGTGAAGCAGATTTTTTGTGTGATGAGATCCCATACAACGTCAATGCAAAGATGCAAATAGATGCAAACTTTGCGACATTTGCTTCAGTCACTCAAGTTGAGACATTTGAACTGAAAAATTTGTGTGATGCAATGTTGCGATAGCCAATCTGTGTTGTGAAGGGAACCCACCAGGGGCAGGTCCTGGCACTGGTCTGAGCTAGTAGTTTATTTAACTGACACTGGTGAGCCTCAGGTGGTGCTGTTGTCCAGAAATTCATTTTGCTTTTGGTGTGAATACAGCTTTAGTTTTTTCTCAAAGATGGTTTCTGTTATTTTAGGTTAATTAGTTATTTGATGCTTAAAAAATGTGATGAAATGTCATACTTGTCAACTGAGGCTCAATTTGTTGATGGGACATTTTGGCAGATATTTAGGCTTGGTTTTTGGATAGTGGGAGCAAGTGGAGACGCTTCGTCCATCTTTATATTTAGTTTTTGGACAATGCAGCACCAAACAGAAAATAAAGGTCTGTCCCCATTTTAAAGCTGAATGAGAAACTGAATTAATACTCTGGGTTTGTATCACAGATCAGTGGTTTGGGTGTGAATAGCTACATAACAAGAGGTAGACGTCTTTCACATGTAGTCTGGTTGTAATCTGTACAGGACATTAGATAATTCAATGGAATGTCAGGCAACACTTTTACACCCTTTTTGCTCTATTGTCATGTTAAGCGTTAGAGAATAAGGGGAAATGGGAGGGGTGCACAAGATTTTTTTTTTTTTAAATGCCACACATACTCTAACCTGTCACTTTGCCGCATTCTGGCTATTTTTCCCGTTCTGTGTTGTTCCAGTCAATAAGGTTTAAGCATCAAAATAATTACAATCGAGCATTTCACAGCAGCATTTTATCCGTCTGATCAGCATTATGCACAAGGTTATGTCACAAACGATGTGACATTTCCATCTGATTCCGTTTGTCTCAGCCCATTTCCATCTAAATGCCTTTCAGCCTCGTACTGTGGCCGGGGCTCTCCGCAGATGGGACAGGAACAAGGCAGGAATTATTCCCCCAACAAGAGGCTCGCTCTTTGTTTTTGGATCAACGCTCCGCGGAACGTAATCAAAATGTACAAAAACAAAATGCCAAAAATGCTGATCTGGGTCACCACTGCACGAGCTAAGAACTTAACCTGTGTCACACAAAGCAAGTTTCCTGACAAAATATTTATTCAAATGACCTCCTGCGAATTACATTAGTGAATGAATCCAAAATATCTGCCGCAGTCATTGTGAATGTGTATCAGTGTGTGTGAGAAAAAGTAAGAGTCACAGAAAGAGAAAAATCTGAGAAAGTCAGTGTTTTTTTTCATGATCTCATTTCAGCTCGCTAAATAAAACCAGTGGCATTGCACAAGCTGGTTTGTAATTAATTTACATACAGTACATTTACATCCTGACACATTGCCGTGGCTTGTAACAATATTCATCAGGAGTCTCTCAGTGTGTATTAGTGCAGTTACAGTAGTGTGTATCCCCTCTTCTCACATGGCGTCTGGAAGCAATTAAATTCATACCTTCATACCTTCTGCCATCTGGGCTCTGCATGGCCCTCTCCCTTTTTTAACTCTCTGAATTAAGAGAATAAGTTGGATCATTTTCAGTTCTGTGGGCCCATATTCCTTCTCAGGACACAAGAGGCTTTGTTGGTTCAGTTATTTTTTCTTCGTCTTTCCCTCGTTCTCCATTTCTCAGGGAAAATAAGCCACTGGAGAAGGTTTAAATGTCTCACCCGGGAATAACTTCATGTAACACAACGATTTGCTGAGTTAATGTACAAATAACGCAGCTGCAAAAACATTCATGTCAAATCATGTTGCTAATAACGGAG